CTGTCTGTCTCTTTCACGCCTAAACCACTGAACCGATTTTGATGAAATTTGGCATAGAGATAGTTTGAGTCCCGGGAAAGGACATAGGATAATTTTATTTTATAGATAGGTTTTTGAAACAGGGACGCGCTCGATAAAATTTTTCTGTGACAGACAAAATTCCACGCGGGCGAAGCCGCGGGCGGAAAGCTAAATAGACTATAGTCGAGAAAAAAACGAATGGTGAAATCTACGGTACGGTATCTTATCTTATTATCCATTATTTAATAAGTATTTCTTTTATTACTAACAAAATGTAGACTCTACAATGAATAAAAATGTATTTTGTGAAATTTTTCAATTAATAAAATAAGTGACTGAAAGCTGAAGCATCCTTTACCTTATACGAAGCATCCTTCACTTTTTTCAATTTCTATAGGTAATATCAAATTTTTCAATTTAAATTCTAATGAGCGTTTGAGTATTAATTAAGGGCCCTTGGAGTCCTGTTAACGTTAATATAATTAATTTAGTAAAAATGGTTTCCCATGACATCATTACTCCGGAACCTAAGCTGTGTGGGTAATCTTACGATAATTAATTATCATTAGACAGGCCAACCAAGTGCCTTTCAGACTTGTTTTATTCGTATGTGGGTATTACGTATTTTCAGTATAAAATAGTTGGGGACTTTATTATCTCAAAAGAAAGACATAACCTAAATATTTATTTGCTTGAGTTAGGATTGGGTTCTCCAACAATGGTCCAGCCGAAAGGGATCGAACTAGCTAGTCAAACCATTTCTCAAAACGGCAATCTGATTACATATCCGATTGCTTAATCAGGTCTTCGGTGGTCATATTAATTTATTGAAATAATAGTGATACATGAAATCTTTGCATGAGACTAACAACGAATGATGTTGTCAAACAAATTCACAAACATTACTACATAAGGTCTCTCACCGGTGGATGCATAGGTTGACACACGAACCTATCACAGAGCTCTATTCAACGCTGTGAGTTTGATTTGCTTCTTCACTTAAGTAAGCATCGTTTGTGAATACGGGCGTAAGTAAGTTTTGACACGATTTGACCGACATCATTCCAAAATAAAATAACTTGAAGATAATTACAACCGTAGACTTTGTGCCACGAGTCCCTGGAGGAAATTAATAAGATACCTTTTATGTCATATTAATATTATGAAGTATCAGTGGAGGTCAGATTGATTTGTTAGGTGTACAATCGTTTAAGTGAATTGCCCTTAGTCTATGCTTAAGTGTTCGACCTCGCATTGTATAGGCTTTCAATAAATTAATGTACAACCTTCTGAGTTACGTATATAATTATGTTTCTAAGCTTTCATTTGGTATTTTTAATTGACATTTATAAAACTTATACTGATTAATTTTTCAGATACTATAGGTAGTAAAGTTTTGTGTTTTATTCGTTGATAAAAAATTCAGACACGAAATGTATGAAAACGTAGTTGTTTGCAAAACTTGTAGTAATAGTTCTTATGTGTTTTTCCGCAAACCTCGACGATTATAGATTTTTTTTTATATTTTAGTAATATTAGGGTATAATGGGTGTTGATTTGGAAATGAAAAGTACAGGTTTTATCTATACTTATAATAAATCTGTAGAGAGGTCAATTCTGTACATGAAATATATTTTCAAAATAACTATCAGGGGGTGATTAGTGATCGATACTGATGCCAAAAATGCAATCAGTAAAATTTTTGTCTGTCTGTCTGTATGTTCCTTATAGAAACAAAAACTACTTGACGGATTTTAACGAAACTTGGTACAATTATTCTTCATACTCCTGGGCAGGTTATAGGATACTTAGGAATTCCCACGGGAACGGGAATTAGCGGGAAAATTCTTTTGTACGAAAAATCTAAACCGCTTAAGTTAGAAGCTTGAAATTTGGCATGCAGGTACCTTAGTAAACTTAAAGCTTAGTTACAACAGGATATTGCAAAATTCCCACGGGAACGGGAGTTAGTGGGAAAAAACATTTGTCGAAAAAATCTAAACCGCGTAAGATAGACTCTTGAAATTTGGCATGCAGGTACCTTAGTAAACTTAAAGCTTAGTTGCAACAGGATATTGCAAAATTCCCACGGGAACGGGAGTTAGCGGGAAAAAACATTTGTTTGAAAAAATCTGAACCGCGTAAGATAGATGAAGGGGGTAAAACGAGATTCACGCGCACGAAGTCGCGGGCGGCCGCTAGTTGAACATAAATATATTTAGTTTGAAGTAAAGCAATTAATATTTTATTATTAATATTACAAAATATTTTCTATAGGTATAATAATATTACAAAATATTTTCTAAGATACTGTTAAATTCTTCTTTCAATTACAGGGTTGAATCTTTCTCGTGCTTGAAGTAGGTACTTTTATTTTATTTGACGCAGCAAAATGTGAATTTTCCCGCATCTGGTGATCTTACTACAGCAATCCACTGACTCCTGGTGATGTTGATGAATGCTAGATCTTCATACGCATAGACTTTTACTCTTCAAAGGTCCCAAAGGTTTGATGTTGTGTAAAATAAGGGTCTGATAGACGTGCTCATGTTTTTTATAACACATTTCAAAATTAATTGTTTATTTTATGTTTTCAGCGCAGTGTGTTGCGTTTATTCTTACGAAATGAAAGTAAACGAACGCCTGCGCTACAACGGCCCGTATTATCTCAAAGTCGGAATAATCAGTGTTTTTTGAACTTTTCAATATGAATTTCTCAAAAGCATGGATGGGTTTTTGTGATTAAACCTTCAAAATAATTTTATTGTTATTTATTTAAAGTTCAAAAAATACCTGACGGAACTCAAAACTTCGCATCCCATCAAAAATAATGGTCGACAAATGAGACTGAAATTGAGTTTTGTCCTTTGTCGGACAAGGAATAAAGAAGACGTACATTAAAATAATAATCCCATGAGCGGACAGAAGCCAGCAGATTGAAATTAACTCTGATTGACTGATCCCGATTTATCGAAAACCTGCAATCGGGTTTTGCCTTCGTAGTACATTTGTCAGATGAGTTCTCGATTATATCTTTTTGTTATCGAATAGACTTCAAGATTAACGATGATAATGACAAAGTAAGATAATTTTTTCGCGACCGTCATGTTGCTGAGTAATCAATCATGAATCTAAATAATTTGTTCTAGTCACTAAGGCTTATTTCTTTAGCACGTAGGAATACTTTTTTATTTTGTAACAGACTGTGTGTTAATAAGATAAGAGTTGCTTATTTGTTATTATTTTTAATATTTTACTAAACTCTGTCGGTCTCAATAATCTATTTTATTAAAAACTAGTGACAAGCCCCGGCTTCGCACGGGTGCCAAGTATACATTAAACCTTCCTCTTGAATCACTCTACTTATTTATTTAAAAAAAACTGCATAAAAATCCATTACGTACTTTTAAAGACCACTTTAAGAATAGATAGGGACAGGCAGCGGAAAGCGACTTTTTTATACTAAATAGTGATGTTCAGAAATACTAAACCTAAACTTAGGTATTCATTCCGGTAGTTTATTTTAAAACGTTTGAATTGATTTGCTTTGTATTTTTATGTAGGTAAATCAGCAACATTCAAATTGAAAAAGTATTTAGAATTGTAAATTTTGTAGACGGCTTTCATTTTTCAATTGCAAATAAGACAAACAGTGTAGATAATAATATTAATATTTTTATTTGCTGCATTAAACAAATTCATTTACTTGAACTAGGAATATTTGAATCAATTTTAATCACTAAAATGTACATAAAGTTGACCGTGTTACTTTTATAATTTTATTGGACTCTAATAAAAAATTCAAACCTTTTAAATATTTTATGAAAATAAAATCCCGTCAAAAATTATCACAAAATGTGAAAATAAATATCAAAGCTAGATTTTAGTATATTTATTAAGTAAATATTAAGTTTTACTATTAAAATCGTAATTAATTTTACAGTACAAAATGTTAACCCTTCAACTATCACGCAATAATTCTCTGATATTTAAAACAAAACCTACCTTATATCTTTAAACTAAATTTAACAGGAATCCTGATCTCACCGCTTTTTCTCGGATCACAATACGAATATTACTCGCACAAAGGGAAATATATTTTGTGTCGGCGCTACACCTTCGGCCACCCTCGAATAACAAATAGAGGCTTCGATGCTTATTTACTTATTTTCTAAAGTAAACACGAGTTAACTGAAAACCTGTTGACTTTTGTCTTCCTGTTGTAAAGTATTTATTTTTTTGACTCCCGAAAGATACGAGTAACGTTTATTCGTGTTAATTATAAAAAATATAATGTTAAATGCCGATAAAACTGGTGTATCACTTGATAATTAATTTTAGAAACCAGGTTGTACCTACTGATTCAAAATAAGTAATATATTTTTGGTTTAATTTTTGCGTTAATATTCATTAACCATTCTATTTATTTTTTAACAATTGGCCAGCAAGCAATTTAAGTTAAATAATATGTCGCACAGCCAAATCGATGTAAAAGCCACGCCAAAAAATGCCGTGAAAGAGGCATCTTCAAAAATTTTTTTTAGTTTAAACGTGTGAAACCGTATAAAAATCCGTTTTCAAATAACAAAATATTAACAAAAGGAGCTCGCAACTGAAATATTGAATAAATAAAATAAAAATTAATAAAAATTTAGCTGAGAACAACTCTTATTCAACAAAAAATAAAATATTTGAAAAACAAATTGAAGTTAAAAAAATTATATAATTTGCACCCCTGAAATTAAATTGAAAACCCCTTGTGTAAATCCCGAAAAACTCATTTAAAATAATTGGCAACTAAATTCAATATTTTAAAATAACCACAAAATAAAAATATTTTTGAAATGAAAATTTTAAAAGGAAAACCCTAAGAAAACTCCTCTGCAAATGACTTTAAACCGGCCGAAAAACACCCGAACACGAAATTAAAAAAAATGAAATTCAAAATTTTAAAAATATTAAGTTAGAAAAATTCTCACCCAAGTCCAGTGCCGCGATCCCGGCGAAGTTTGTTGGTTGCGGGAGCACGTCTTTACTTGGAGGAGTACTGAGCGCGAATGGCAGTCGGGAGGACAGGGCGAAGCTCGTTGGCTGGAAGCCGAGGCGGCCCCCGCCAGTGTCACTTGGGCGCACATGCGCACACCGCCCGTCGCCGCATCCGCCGCACGGCACACGAAGCCTGCGGGATGGAAAAATTCCGTGACGTGTGGCGCTCAGGGGTGCTCAAGTTGGAGCTTTTTAGGAATCATGATTGCGTAACGATTTAATTTTTTTATGCACCGGTATTCTAATAATAATAAACATAATTTAGGGTGATTATGCTAATTTAATAACTTGTGAAAAAAAAACAATTTATAACGAATTTTTTTTTTCATTTTTTTTGAAAACCGTTAATTTTACGAAATAGGACTTGTTAATTTTTTTAATATTCTAAAAATGAGCTTAGATTTCACTATTATTATTCTTGTATTTAACAAGTAAACAGAACAGCAGCGGTAGGCGCATGTAATCACCACAGAACACGTACCGCGTTGTCGTAGGGCAGGAATTACGTGACTTGTCATAAACTGTTGGAACGCGGCCATACGACGCCGAAAGCCGCTGTGACGCGTGACCACGTCACTTTTTATGGAAAACGCACAATAGATCATAGTCTAATTATAAATTAAAACTTTTGTATACCCTATTAAATATTTATTCTCCTATGCAAAAGTGTGATATAAATCCGCCAGCCCAAAATCCGTCTAAAAGTGATATCAAATGCATTTTAATAATAATCATAAGTTGAAACTTGAAAGTAAAAATAACATTTAATTAAATTGCTGATTCTCTAAAGACGGAACTTTTTCTTTACCAAGACTTTTGCCAAAAGACTGAAAATTATTCACAAGTTTTTTTATAACCGTATTTAGTGCGTGCTCACGTTTACCTACATACTTAATTCAACTGAACTAATAAGGACAACATTTTAATACAGAATCAGTTTTGCACCCCTGGTAATATTATGCATGAAAAATATCGTGATTCTTGAGAATCATCTACAATTCAGGCATTGTGTCCGGCTGCACACGTCATTTAGTATGCACCACTAACACATTTATCCCTGAAGACATGCCATTTACAATTCGACGTTTCTTTTTATTTTATTGAATAATTCACACTGGAAATGTGCAATCGGGGAACATTTGCGTCATAGCGCACAAAAAACATTTGCGCATCAGGGACAGAGCGCATGAAAAATTACAGAGTGGTTGTTGAACTAAATTTACTTTGAAAACCTAGATTTATTTGATGCCGAATGTAGTTATTACATTTTTTTTAGTCTTACGTTAATTGTATACACTACAGTTTATTTTAATGTATATATTATTCGTCATAAAATAATCGAATTACTCAATAATCACAGCACGTTGAAATCAACAATCAAATATAAAATCAGATACAAATTGTGAGTAACTTCCACTTTCGGTAGTTTTTGATAAAATAATTATTATTAAAGCAGCTCTTGCTTTGGCGGCACGTCCTCGCTTGCGTTTTTAGCCAAGTACATTTTTGGACTCTGCAGGCGGATCTTGAGTCGAATCGCAAGCCCTATGACATTCTTGGATATTATACATATACTATAGTGTGTAAATACACGAAGTACTTGAAATAGTATAATTACGAAGTAAAATTAACTATTCTCTGCTAAGGAACCTATGCTACGACTAATAAACTTAAGTGCTCTACCACAATAGAGAATGCCTACATAATTATATTTTGTCTAAGAGGTTCCATAATATTTGGCCCCTTTGCCACCGTCCTCGGGTCCACTGCAACTATAGTATATATAAATTCATTAATCAATATACAGGATGTTCTTGCATAAGTGCACTTATGGGACTAGTTGAATTTATTTCTCAAACACAAGAGGATATCATATTATTATAGAAATATAAAAAAAATATTTTAATTAAACTAAAAACGTGGATTTTGTATTTAACTACACCGGCCGATTATTATTCTTGTGTTAAACATATTATACTGTTTATATTTTTGTATTGAATAGGCTCCGAAACTACTAGACCGATTTGAATAATATTTGAGCATTTAGAATCAATATTTTTTCTGATTAACATAAGCATACGTATTTTTTATTTATTTTATAGTTAAATACCTATATCTACCCATGCGAAGAAGGGGTGGGGGCGCTAGTAATTAATATATTTTATTTAAAAGGAGGTACTAATGCGCGTCGAAATCCGGGGAACAAATTCGAAACCCACCGCCGCTCGGCTATTGTGGTAAGCCCACTCGCAACACAAGCATAGTATTTAGCGACTAAAGAGGCTAACGGGACTTTTATAAAAAAACTAATCACTCTACTGTTTGTGCTTTACTTACGGGATTTATTAACCCACATTACCACTACAACTGCATAAAAAAGGACGGCATAAAACACCGAAACTGGTAATTATTATCACGTATCCTTAAAATTCATACTCGTAACTTGCAACACAATCATTTAATCGGAATCGGGTCGCTATGAAATACATAAATATAAATCCAGCACGGGTTAAATATTCGTGCTCATTCCATAAACATTGCGAAAGGCCTCGGTTCGGTTCAGGACAGCTGCTTTGATATCCAGATCTCGACATACAAGACGAAAACTGAAATAGTAGGTAAAGGTTTTTTCGATTTGTGTCTTCGACGACTCCTATGAAGTAAAGTTGAACGAAATCAATTAGTTAGTGACTATTTCTCCTGATGCGGATTTCAGCAGCATTCCATTATTTCATAAATGTTTTTCCTTCACGCGGGCACGAACGCGGAATGCGGATTGGCTGCGGGCACACAATACGAAATCTTTGTCCTGCGTGCAACCAGCGGCGTGATTTTACACGCACGCGGACCATTTCCGCCGATAAGTACTTATGTAGTATAGCGTAAACCGACAAACATGCGTAAAGTAGAAATGAAGCAAAGGTTCAATAATAATATAAAAAAATCTATAACAGTATAATGTAATTTACTTACAATGCTCAGAATACAGAACAAACCAGAAGGAGTGCTCGATAACATTTCTACGCGGCAACTTGTGTCCAAAATACTTCCCCTCCCGCGCCCCTCTACCCCCTTTAGTGTTACTAGCGCCGTGTGACACCCCCATTTTTGGGGTAAAATTATGTAATTTTTTAAAGAGATGTTAAACAAGTAAAAAATAAGTAAGTGAAATAAGTACACACGGCCAGTGTTAACTATCCATTTCCGTTTTTGCTCTCGCTCTTATCAAATGGTGATTCTTTGCGATAGAACGAGACGACAAGACTGGCCATAGGCATAGATATTAGGGCATGAATATCGGAATCTCGGAATCTCGTAATATCGGAATCTCGGACTACGAGATCCGATATTTCAATTCCGATATTGAACGACCCAATATCGTAATATCGGAATCAGATAAAAGTTTTAATTGAGATTTTAAACAAAGCGTTTAAACTCGCCACAACCTGCCACAAAGCCCAAAGTACATGATTGGCAAAGACCAATGACTTTCTCATGTCTCTCACCATCACTTTTTGTTCCACTGCAAAATCAATTTTAGCATTTTCCATAGGTACTTGGTCAACAAAGAACGACATCTCAACTCCCTTTCAAACATTAATTTTACTGGACTAGGGACCGTCAGTTCTGCGTATTAACTACTAATCCGTCAGGCTATGTCAGCGACCTTAGTTATTATATACTCATTTCTGATTAGATCTCGTAAAGAAACACCAAGCTTATCCCTCTCCATAGCACGTTGTGCCGCGTCTTTCCGTTCTATACATGGCCAGAACGCACCCATAGGAAACTGCTCGTGTATATTTTGGAGTGTCTCTTTGTAAGTCGGTCACTACAAACTATACACGAATTTTGCGTACTGATCGTGTATAGTTTGTATCGTGGATGGATACCGTTTTCGCTCCAAACTATACTACACCACTTACAGTTGACTAGAGTGTGTTTAGTTTATTTTATTTAATAAAATATGGAATCATATTTAAAATTATTACATTTATTACATATTATGCTCGTGCTTTGTCCTCGAGATTAGAAATAAGAACTACCTATGTAGATCACGTACGGTGATGCCATTTTTAAATTAATTAATTATTACATAAAATATTATTATTTTACTGAATCTATTATTATAATAAATCTAGATTTATAACACTAATGTAATTGGTTTCTGAAATTAAATTGATTAGGTAGATTTCAAATTAAATAACAATTATTTATTAGTGAGAGTGAATGAAGAAAGTTAAACGTGCATTATTAACTAAAATTGTCGACCGTTCGGTATAGTACTCGTACTCGCATATAGATACATTGTAATCGCGAACTTATTACAATACATACATGATTAGTCCGTATGCGTACTGACGATGTATATTTTGGAGTAAGATAATTGACCTAAGTCACTACAAAGTATACGCGAGCAGTACGCAGCGTATGCGTACTGGTCGTGTATAGTTTGGAGGAGCTTAGTAAAAAAAGTCACATCCAAACTATACTCGATTAGTTTCACACCCTTGCGTTCTGGCTATGTATAGAATGGAAAGACGCCGTTGTGCCCTATATTCAAAGGCCACGTTTTCGAGCCGTATATCATCATTGGTAACACAAACTAATTGAAGACTTTCGTCTTCGTATTCGACAATTTACTTCTTTCTCGAAATTGCATCTACCTAGCTGATCGTTTATCGAGATAGACATATGTACTTACTTGTCAACAATCTCAAGAATCGAGCTCCTAACCGAAACTGGGTAAGGAGCAACATGGACATTCGACATAAGCTTCGTTTTTTCCATATTCATCCGAAGGCCTACCTGTTGGGAAACTCGATTAAGATCTTCGAGCATTGTGATAAGGTCTTCCAACGGTTCTGCCTTAGTACGCAAAACAGACGGACGATGACGCAGCAAAGTTCTGAAGTGGAGGCCACGTACCGGAAAGCGCAGCGTAGGACTCATAACCACAAGGTGGACCGACCACCTCATAAAGGTAGCAGGAAGGCGCTGGATGCAGGCCGCCACCAACCGGCCATTGTGAAAATCATTATCAGAGCATATGTTCAGCAGTGGACGTCCTATGGCTGACATGATGATGATGATGGCTCGTGG